ATTTCAGTCCCACAAAAATTCCGCTTGCTCCCAATGAAAGGAGTGGAATTGTATTAATGGAAAACACTGTCTTCCTTGCTTAAAACTGATCTTTAATTCATTATTTTTCTCAATTTCCTGTCAAATTCCGATTCATCTTCAAAGCATTGACTCGACGCACTTATTATCATGTAGAAAATGTTAAGGGAGGTAAATTAATTTATCCATTGTGGTTTCATTGAGAGGAGCAGCTGTAAAGAGTAATTGATTATAAACAGATTCTGTAGGGGTGAGTGGTTTGAAAATAGATTTAAAAAATGATCATGTGGCACATTTTCAATAGTCTCCCATCCAGTAATGAGAGGCAGCACTAACAAAAACAAAGAAGGTGAATTGAAACCAGTGGTAGCCCCAAGTGATGTCATGGGATGGGCCCTGGAGATGGAGGTTAATTGGGAGAGGGGAGCAGAGGAGTCTTTGCTATAATTCACAGCCCTTTCCTGCCAGACTGGAGATTGCAAACTGCATGCACAGTCTTCTTCATATATATACATACTGTACATATATAGCTTTTTAAACTATTGGGGGCACTGGTTTTGTTTGTTGCTATGGTATGTATTTTTGTATTTTTATGTTGTAAACTGCTTTGTGATCCTCAGATGTAAGGTAGTCTAGAAATTAAATAAATAATAATAATTCAGGTTACAAGAAAGGATACTCTGACTAGACATTTGGAAGAACCTTCTGAGGATAAGAGTTGTTTGACAGTGGAACTCCTTCAGAATGTGGTGGACTCTCCTTCATTGGAGATTTTTAAGCAGAGGTTGGCTGGGCATCTGTCAGGGATTCCTTAGCTGTGACTACTGCATTGCAGTGGGTTGGACTAGGTGACCCTTGGCTTCCCTTCCAACTCTACAATTCTACGGAGTGCCTACACCTGAAACAATTGACCACTGGCTCCAGCTGTAGCCCCAGACCTCAGGAGGGCACTAGATTGGGGAATAACTTTGTTAAAATGCAGCAGCTTGACTTTGAGGAAGAGCCGAGGTAGACCCAATGTCACTGCACGTTTGTAAGATTCGACTTTCCACACAGAAGGAGCTTGACAGCTAGACGGGGTGAAAAGAATAACATTAACGTACAGAGTGGAGAAAGAGTGAGCTGGAGGAGGTGGAGTGTGGTTTTCAGTGGGAGGATTTCATAACAGCATCCCAATATGAATTCAAAGTGTGGCTCCACGCAGTGCAGGCGAAGGTCTCCTGCTGAGCATTTTATGGAAGAGAAGTAAGGAACAAACATCTGTCACTTATCTAATTAGCAGCTGGATGTAGCTGTCATGTCTGAGATGTACGACTGGAGTGTTCTTTTTTTATTGGGATGAGGAATGTGAGCGTACATCGAAAAGAGCAGTTTGATCAGAAAGGGGCTCACAAAAATGTGTCACTTTCTCCTGGAAACATCTGCACTGTAAGTAAAGGCAGCATATATTACAGTGTAACGAGCTGAGGATGAATATGCAAGAAACCCAAAAACTGTGTCAGGAAGCAAACTAAACATCTCTGGAATATTTTCAGGGCACTCGGTGGTGCAATGGGGAAGCCGTTGGGGTGAGCCGAGCCTCAGAACAGAGGGAGAAAGAGGGAGGGAGAGAGAGAGGGAGGGAGGGAAGAAAGGAGAGGGAGAGAGATGCAAATCTACCCCAAGACTTCCACAATTGCCGCAATGGACTGCTGGATCTGTGTACAGCTGCCCCTTGTGGTGAACCTTCAAACTACAGGTGTCAGCTCCTCAGGCCCTGGACTCTCTCTACCCGCCCAGGCTGGCCACTGAATCCTGTGGACAGGAAGGACTGTAAGAGGACTTCCTGTTCCCGTTAAGCCTGGCTTGAGTAGCAAGGTCTTATTGAGCACCTTTGTGACTTTCTACATCCTTAGATGGTCTTCACTGATGACTCCTGGTTTGCCCCTTGCTTCTGATTTACTCATCAGTCCTGGCCACTGGCCTGAGAACATAAGCAGATGCCCCATGGCTCCTGTTTCCAGGCATCTTCCTTACCTCAGACTACTGTCCACTATGTAGCCCTGGCAAAGGCCAATGCTCTACCCACTACACTACACTACACTACACTACACTACACTACACTACACCTCCTCTAATGGCAGCTTTTCCTGGCAGCATGTGTCTGGCAATTTATAATTTTAAAAAGGAGGGAGTGTATGAGTGTGCCTGGAGATGGGCAATTCTGTCAAATTAAGTTTCTATCCATTTCTTGCTTTTTCCAGTTCACTTTGCAGCTATTAGGGAATCCATTTCCCTGCATGCCTCCAAATAAATGTATCTTTGTCCAAATTTTTGCCTAGTATGAGCATTTCGCAAGTAATTCCCCACAATAGAATGCATTTTGTATGTGATTTTCACCAATATACTGTCTTATTATTCTATGCGTTGTTTAGCTGGAGAACTGTGTCAAAGAAAATGCCAATTTAGAAAGTCACATAGAAATGCAAACTGTAAGCTTCACCCATGCCCTAATTTCCACACACATTTTTCACTGGAAACGTTTAATATTGCCCTTGCTTCTTTTCCCCAGGCTGCCAAAACTAGGAAGGCACAGAATGTACACTAACATCCCGTTCTGCTCCCATTTATTCTTACCACAAACTTGCAAAGTAGGCTAGGCTGTGACATAACCTTTTGCCAAGGTCACCCCATTGGTATTTCAACTTGAGATTCTCATGTCTTAAGCCTGATGTTTTACTTTCTGCACCACACTACCCCATAAACTCTATTTAAATTAAAACTTGCATACACCCTATATGTTTTCCACATGCATTCATGGTTTTCACTGTTCGACAGGTTCTCTGCTGCATGCATGAAACTGGAAATTAATTTGCTGCAGATTTATTAGATATGAGAAGCCGCCATACTTCCCTTCTAAAATATTTTTTAAAAACCAGACTTGGATGCAGGTAAAGACTCTCACAGCTGGTAGAAGTAATGATTAGAGACAATTATAGCTTGATTGACCTGTCTTGGAAGCTAAATTGATCAGGGACACTTAAAATGCCTAAAAGAATCCCCCCTGTCCTAAATGTGTGGGATTTGCTGATGTGCATGTATTTGATTTGGGAGGTTGGTTTGTCGATTGGTCTGCATGTGCCAATTTTCATCTGGATGAAATGTTTAGTGCAGGGGTGGCTGGGTGGAATTGCCCAAATTAATCCTTTTAGTGATAACTAAATTATGTGCTACATCCAACTAAATCCCAATTAAGGGAAGAAGGAAAGAGGAAATAAGAAAAGATGAATTTACAGTTGTGCCTTCCAAACATGTAATACAAATAAACAAAAGGATTTAGCATGGGCTGGTTGAACAGTGGTGCATTATTTTTTTCAGGAAATTCTTTTAGGCACTTGAACACCTGTTTCTATAAGGTGGTTCATCACCTGATTCTCCATCGTGTGATTATTTAGCTTTTCACCACTGAATATGTGGATGCCCTATCATTATAAAGTACTGTGCTCAAGAATGTAGGAAAGCACAGAGGGAGAAGAAGGGAATCGTGTCAATTGGTCCTTCCCCTGACTGACAGTGGACCCAGATCTTTCTCCTATTTTTGCTATCCCCCTCACACAGGGGAATTTGTTCATTGTAATTTCTTAATCTTCTCTGCCTTTCTTGAACCACTGCTGAGGCTTTATGAAGCAGTGCAGTCACTATTGCACTCCAAAGAGGGTGCAGGTGAGGTGAGATTGCTTTGCTAGCCTGGAGCTGCTGCAGACCCCTGCTAAAATTTGTAACCCCATGTCTCATCAACGGGTGCCAGGTAAGGAGTATCTCTGCCCCTGATATTTCAGTGCCCAAACCTAAGGCCAGGGATGGCCGTTGGTAATGTTATGGGGAAGGCCCCTGACAATGTCACATGGGCAGACCCCAGTGATGGAGGTTAATTGGGAGGGAAGAAATGGGTCTATGCAATAATTTGCAGCCAGCTCCATTAAGTAAGCTTAATATTTTGTGTTTTGTTTTGTTTTGAAAGTAAAAGACTCTCCCCTACACCTGAATATTCAAGCCCTCCAACTGCCACCTGGAGGGATCAGGCAAACCTGGAGACTTCAGGTCAGACATGAAGATCTGGCAATCTTAGTGACAGCAGTGAAGCCAACTCAGGACCCAATAGTCCCCAGCCCAGCTCATTCCCTTCTTGCTCCTAGAATGCCCCATTTATGGGCTTTTGTGCTGGCTCCAAGCAGTTGATCTCTTGTGGATCCATACATGCAGGAGATGGCAAGAGGATGCCTTAGCCAAGAGAGCTGGGCGAAGGCATCCTCTTGCTCATTCTACCATCAGCTTTTGGGTTGCTCTATCCATTACCTACTGGATTTCATATCCCCCTCCCCAAATGTTGTGATGCTGTTCATGGCAATTTAAATGTATCAAAGACTATGTAAATACATCCTGGGTGGGGAGGGAATACACACGAAAATATATTAAAATACATATTTAAATGTGTACTTTGATGATCGTGAACACACACAAACAATGAAATAATTTTTGTTATAATGTCTTCTAAAAATTGCTGAAGGCAAGCACGAAAAGGACATTCTCTCTGTTCTACGCCATGAAAGAATGTCTCCCCCAAGACGATGCCTTCCATGACACAAATCAAAGGATGCTTCCTTCTTCGGAATCGTTTCCCTATATTCAAATTTCTGCAAATTTGAATAATCAGTCAATTTGATCATTTGAGTAATATGTCCCCTAAATATATCATTTTTATAAGTGACTCATATATTGATTGAACTGAATAGTAGATTTTCTGAAACTCATATACTTAATCAAATAAGGTTCCTTGAATTTGTGATAGCACTAAAGTGTTTGACTCAGGAAGCCCTGGAGCAAAGAAGCAAACCTATTCAGGTCAGCGCCATTATGATTTGGGCATTATTTTTTGGAAGTGCAGGGGAGCTGCCTTATGCTGAGTCAGACCACTGGTCCATCTAGCGCCAGGTTTTCTATACTGGCTCTCCAAGGTTTTGAACCAGGAGCTTTTTCCAGGATTAAACATGGCACCTTCTGCATGTAAAACAGATGCTCTTCCACTGAGCCAGAACACTTCCCCTTTGATAAACCTGAGGATTTCTCATTTCCCTTGAGCTGTGAAATAGGGATGGGAAATATGTCACCCTTCAGATGTCTCTGGACTCCATCTTGAGCTAACATGGCCAATGGTCAGGGATGCTGAGACTTGCCACACAGAAGCTCCCTAGTCCTGACCTAAAATGGTCACTTAGTTGGGATGTGTCTGGCCTATGTAGCATTGCAGTAGCATCTTATCAAATTCTGGTGGGACAGTGCACATGTCTATAGTAGCAACCACAATGTGCCTATTTCATGTTTGCTTTTAATTCTTGGATATATGTGTAATAAACATAGAGGGTCGTGCGTTTTTATTCTTTGGACAGAGTGGCCCAGTCCTTTGTCAGACCATGGAGGAAGGATCACCCAAAGTAATAGAAAGACGAACTTGCATTGCTTTGCCATTCTGGCTTCCTGCATGCAGGACATTTTGAGAAGGTTGACTTCCATTGACCACAGCCATCACGGAGAGATGTAAGGAGGGCAACTCCTAAGTGATTTCCTCCAGTTGAATCTGAATGCCTTTAACCACTCCAGAGAAAGTGGTCTTGAGATTAGCAACAGGCAGAGAGGCATGAGCAATAACAACAGAAAAGAGAGAGGGAGAGAAGAGGGCAAGTTGAGAGAAATAAGAAAATTGTGTGTTTTTGGTGGGTGGGTGTGGGTGTACACACACACACACACACACTCCTGTCCAGAGAGCTCTTGACAAGTTCTAGCCTCTTGTTCATGCAATAGCAATAATGCTTTTAAGAGCCCCCTTTATCTCCTCTCCTGCATGTTCTCCCTAATTGTTATTTCTGAATTATATTTGAGCTTTCACACAATGCAAAAGCCACTTCTGGAAATATAATGGACTATAATTATATATTTTTTTTAAAATGATATTTATTAAGGTTTCAAAAAAAAGGTTACATAGATAAGAAGAAAAGAAAAAAAAATTAGAGAAAAGAAAAAATACAAAATACAGAAAAAATAAAGACACTTAAAAGCAAATCAATCTTTCTATGCCTTACATTTCATTTCCTTGTTTCCATGACCTCCTCACACCTCCCTTTTTTGTATTCCAGTTCAGTTAGTTAATTCAGCAATTCCTTTCCCTCTTTGTTTTTATCTTAATCCTTTAACTTAATATATTATAACTTTGGATTCTCACCTGTTAACAATCCATTTTTACATACAACTTTATAACATTGCTGCTAAAACCACTTAACTTCATTCTGACATCATTCTAACATTCATTAATTTTGCAGTATTTCTGTAAATAGTCTTTAAATTTCTTCCAATCTTCTTCCACCGACTCTTCTCCCTGGTCTCGGATTCTGCCAGTCATTTCCGCCAGTTCCATGTAGTCCATCACCTTCATCTGCCATTCTTCCAGAGTGGGTAGATCTTGTGTCTTCCAATACTTTGCAATAAGTATTCTTGCTGCTGTTGTGGCATACATAAAGAAAGTTCTGTCCTTCTTTAACACCAATTGGCCAACCATGCCCAGGAGAAAGGCCTCTGGTTTCTTCAGGAAGGTATATTTATATACCTTTTTCATTTCGTTATAGATCATCTCCCAGAAAGCCTTAATCCTTGGGCATGTCCACCAAAGGTGAAAGAATGTACCTTCAGTTTCTTTACATTTCCAACATTTATTATTGGGCAAATGATAGATTTTTGCAAGCTTGACTGGTGTCATGTACCACCTGTATATCATTTTCATAATATTCTCTCTTAAGGCATTACATGCCGTAAACTTCATACCTGTGGTCCATAACTGTTCCCAGTCAGCCATCATTATGTTATGTCCAACATCTTGTGCCCATTTAATCATAGCAGATTTCACCGTTTCATCCTGAGTATTCCATTTCAACAGCAAGTTATACATCTTTGACAAAATCTTAGTTTGGGGTTCTAACAGTTCTGTTTCTAATTTTGATTTTTCCACCTGGAAGCCAATTTTCTTGCATTTCCATGTTATTTGCAGGTGGTTTCTTTTTCTTTTTTCTGGAAGCAAATAACACGAATGCTAAACTTGTGCTGCATTCCACAGTATTTCTGAAAGTGGCTTTTTTGACATGTGAAAGTTCAGACATAATTTGGAAATTAACAGTTAGAGAAATGTCAGGGAAATAGAATAAACTGACATGTGAATTCAGCCTTAGTCTGCTGCCCTCTAATGTAGCGGAGAACTCTGTTCTGCTCAGTGCTGTTGATAGGCTGTTTTGCACCCTAGGCAAGGCAAACTACTTGCACCATCACCCCCCTCACCAAATTGCTAACTTCAATTTTCAAAAACAGACAATTTGTATAAAAAATGAAAAGCATGCGGCTCAAAGCTGCTAAATCTATTTTCAATTGCAAGTAAAAGTAATACAACAAACTTAGATTATCTTTCGGTCTATCTCCATTCAGGGTTTTTTTTTATTAAAGTTTGTGGCCTGTCTATTTAATAGATATGTAAATAAAACCCCATTTAATATATGAATAATTTCAAAAACCAATAGAATGCTTCAAAAAAAAAAGGAAACTATCATCGGAAATGTAGAAGATATAACAAAAAGGGAAGAATTTTATTATTTTTTTAATAATTCATACACTGGAATTGTTTTGGTCATCAAGGAATGCAGGAGAAAAGGGGAGGGTCATGTTTTATGGGAAAGGGTTGTGGCTCTCTGGTACAGCCTCTGCTTTGAATGCAGAGGATTCCAGCTATGGTCTCTGGTATGTCCAGAAAGGGTTGGGAAAAGCTCCCTGTCTGAAATCCTGGTGAGCTGCTGCCAGCCAGTGTTTGGCAGTACTGAGCTAGATGAACCACAGTTCTGACAGCTTCATGTGCTCTCCTGTTCTCGGCTAACCCTCTGCATATTTCATGTGTGGTTCCATCTTGGTGCCTACAAAATTCACAGTCGGAATGTCAGAATATAATAATAATATAATAATAATTTATTATTTATACCCCGCCCATCTGGCTGAGTTTCCCCAGTCACTCTGGGCAGCTCCCAATCAAGTGTAAAAAACAATACAGCATTAAATATTAAAAACTTCCCTAAACAGGGCTGCCTTCAGATGTCTTTTAAAGATAGGATAGCTGCTTATTTCCTTCATGTCTGAAGGGAGGGTGTTCCACAGGGTGGGAGCCACTACTGAGAAGGCCCTCTATCTGGTTCCCTGTAACCTCACCTCACAATGAGGTAACCGCCAGAAGCCCCTCGGCGCTGAACAATGGGGGTGGAGGCGCTCCTTCAGATATCGAAAGAATGATAGACTTTCCAGGTCTGCACAGACTTCAACTGGAAATTCTTTCCTAGCACTAGATTTGATGTTGCATTAAGCAAAGTAATCACTCAGTGCCTGCATGCCTTTAAAATCCAGACGCACTCCACAGCCATCACTACTTCCACCACAGCAGACAAAACAAAGCTTCATTTTAGTTCATCTTCATGGTGTATCTTCTATTACGTCAATACATCTACATGAGTGTGTGCGTACTGACCTCAGTAGTCTTCTTATGTAAGGGGATCTATTAATAGACTAACTTTAAATGGTTCTTTCCCCTTATTTCTCTTTCTCTTTCCCCCCTACAATTTAAAAATACATCCTATGAGGATGTGTCATATTAGAGAAGCACCACTTCAGATTCCATGATGACTCATAACAGGACTGACAGAAGTTAAATAATGAAGGTGGAAGTCACAAACAGGAATCCCAAACCGTTAAAAAAACACACACATGAAAAACCAATCACCCAGGTAGAGAATTGTCCTTCTGCATCACCTTGGATGCTTGTAAAGAACACTTGCATCTCCAAGTATCATCCCGGAATATTGCATCTCCAAGTATAGTCTTCCTAGACGCATCTCCAAGTATATTGCAGCTTGATGCATAGGGCTATTGATTAATATTGATTGATTGATGAAGATACATATGGAGATAAGAGTCTTCTGGATCAGGCCAATGTCCACATAATCCAGCATCCTGTTCTCACAGTACAAATGGAAAAATAAGAAGAACCTGCTGGATCAGGTGAATGACCCATCTAGTCCAGCATCCTGTTCTTAGAGTTGCCAACCGGGTGCCTGTGGGAAACCCAAAAGCATGACCTGAGCACAAGAGCCCTCTCCCCTCTTGTGGTTTCCAGCAACTGGCATTCAGAAGCTTTGCAGCCTCCAACTGTAGAGGCAGAGAATAGCCGTCATGCCTAGCAGCTATCGGCACAGACCTCTACTCCATGCATTTGTCTAATCCTCATTTAAAGCCATCCAGGTTGGAATGAAACTGTGAATGGTCATGCATGGAAAGCATTCCATCCTCACTGCCTAAAACACAAACTTGTATTTCTCCTTATGCTTGAAGCACACCAAAGCCTGATGGTAGACTGTGTTGTGGTTCCTTGGCATATTTATGTACAGTGGTACCTCGGGTTACAAACGCTTCAGATTACAGACTCCGCTAACCCAGAAATAGTGCCTCAGGTTAAAAACTTTGCTTCAGGATGAGAACAGAAATCATGCTCCGGCAGTGCAGCGGCAGCGGGAGGCCCCATTAGCTAAAGTGGTGCTTCAGGTTAAGAACAGTTTCAGGTTAAGAACAGACCTCCAGAACGAATTAAGTACTTAACCCAAGGTACCACTGTACATGCAAGGACCAGGAGCTGTCCGTGGGGCCAGTCTAGCACTCCTGCTGGTGTTTTTGCGCCATGGCGACCTTGCAGCTGCCTTGCCCCTCCACGCTCCCAGTGAGCCCCAATAATGCTGGTGATGGGATGTCAGGTAAAACCAAGGACGTTGGTGATGGGAGGTCAACCCAGTGATGCTGGGTTGTTGCTTGGCTAAAATGAAGAGGGCAAGGACCATGTACTCCACCTTGAGCTCCTTGAAAGAAAGGTGGGATATGAATAAAACAAATAATGAAATAAGAGTGGATGACTGCCTGGAACCCTGAACAGGAATGTGCTGTGCTGCAACATCTTGTTGCAGGCCCCAAC